AAAAAAAATTTAAATTTAAAATGTTAAAAATTCTAAAAATATTTTAGATTGGGAAAGAGAAAATGTAACCCTGCATGAGCTGTCGATTAGAGCTGGACAGATATACTTTTTTATATGACACTGCTGAATGAGCGTAACAGAGATGTATGATCACATGTATACGTACGTGTGAGGGGAAAAGAAAAACACTTTTTTTACTACTTTTCAATTTACTGTTTCACTAGTTTTTTAACCGCTCTTGGCTGGCAGTGTATGTATGTATATTCACAATCTAATATGCATTGTATACCTCTTTGTTATCATTATTACTGACCTTCGATGTGTGCGTGCGTAAACTAGACTCAGTGGCAAAACCTTTGCCGCAGATATTGCAGTGAAATGGACGATTTTTTGCACGTTCCACTTGTGCGTCATGATTTCGTAAATGTTGCTGTAAATTTGATAATTGAATGAAAGCGCGACCGCAATCTGGCAAGTGACATTTGTATGGACGTTCACCTTAAATGAAATGAAGTAGAAAGATACAAAATGTAAAATGCTAGTTTATTAATATAGTGACTATAATAATATACATATGTAGTTAATAATAGTTCACGAAACGGTTGTATGTATCACCTAAAACTAATAGGGACAGATATGGAGTTACCTGCAATGATATGAAAGATTACGATGACGAGACGAACGTAATCCGGGTGACTGTCTGCTTGTCCCATATAACACAATTTTAAACTCCATTTAAAACTTTCACTTTGCAGTACACAAATCAGCATAAAACTTTGCATGAATAGCGAATTTGAGGTGTGCCACCTTATGACTGAAACTTCCCTTAGCCCCCATATACCTAATATATTAATTTTCGAACTTCCCAGTGACTTTAAACCGCATACATCAGCTAATATGTGAGTTATCTTTATAAAATTGAGTAAGCGTATTTTTCTGATAACGGTGCATATTTTTGCTTAGAATGAATAAAATCGGGTGAAAACTAGCCATAGATCCCAAGTAACTGCAAGATTTATGTACCTGAAGGGCTCAAGACAACGAATGTTTTGATAATTACTATTTTGTTCAATAACGGAATTGCTATTTATGACGCAGGTCTTACAAAAATAAGAAAGCGTTGCTGCTGTTACAGTATGACGGATACACTGAAAACCGCTCAACAGGATAGACCACAAAGAGACTAATTGTTTATTAGGAAACAATTTTAAGCTTAAAATCAGTTTTTTGGTATATACTTCAATCCATAGTAATAAAGTTTAATTTGTTTCAGTATATTTAATTTTTGTTGGATCCGCCGTGTAAAATTAAATAAAAAAGTTACTTAATTTGTGTCAGAAAGTAATCAAGTCTCAAAAAACTCTTTAACTCAGCGGAATTTAACATGCAATTTATTTAACTTTTCTTTTTCTACTGATTTTATGTTTGCTTGTACGAAAAAAGGGGACTATGGTGTTAAGTCCAATTTCACAAAGTTTGGATACTTATAGCAGCAACAGCGAACAACGTAAACCCGCATCCCGAATCAGCTGATACGACCTATCTTATGAGATCGTAATGTAAATGGTCAGCCAACACCGTTTATACCGCCCGCTACGCTACGAGATCGTAGAATTTCCCACGATTTGGATTTTTCCCGTAGAAACGAGTCAGCTAATTGTTCTCTGACAACGCAGGGTTACCGTCTCGATATGCTGTAGTAATTATAAAAATTGTCTTCAATATGTTTGAAATTTTCTTAAACTAACTCAAAATCATAGTTGAATGCTGATAGTTTGGATTCAGTTTTGATATTTTATATTAGGGAAAATTGTAATTAAAAACTTAGCTGTGTACAAACGTATTGAGCAATGGAAACATTGTTCAAATTAAAACAAAAAAGATGGCTGATTTCTACGGTCTGAACTTTCGACAAATTTTGCAACGGAGGAAGGGATGATCCGAATTCGCTGTACTGCAATAAAGGTGTGATCGTTGAAGAAAAAAAAATACATTATTTCTCAAGTAATTTTGACAGCTGGTTACGCATTGTGAATGATCCACATTAGAAGAGCAAGAGAGAATTAACAAAGAAARTAAACTTTGTGCGTATTATGTATGTATGTATGTGTGAAGTAACATAAATCTTTTCATTGCGATTTAATGAATGTTGTTGATGATTTGTAAGTTTTATACAACATTTCGAAATCAAATATACTTCATAATAATGAATTTAACTAATTTATGATGAATTTAACGATTACTTTGATTTTCGTTCAAGTAACAATTGTTGATTTGATATTTCTTCGCAAAACCAGGTTTGCCATATTCGCATTTTATTGAAAAAAAAGTAATAAAAGTTAGTACTAGATTACTTTAGAGCTGCATACTAGCACAAGTAAATTTATCGCAGGAAAGTTACTTGACCGTTTCTTAAGCGTTTTTTTTATATGAAGTTTTTACATTTCTTGAGASCTGGATACTAAGCTTATAGTGTTAACTTTGATGAGAAAGCATTATACGCGAGAATTCTAACAAAMACTACCAAAGTCACACGTTTTGTCGGTAAATTGTTGCGCAAAACTAGAGTAACAAACGCAACATAAACATCTTGGAACAGGATGAAGTGTATGTGAATTTTGTATTAAATATTAATTTTMTGTTTGATATAAGATATTAATGTAATAAAAGATGTCAACAGGGCATAATTCAATACTTCTGAGAAAGTCTTTTATTTTTATTACTTTTCTTTTTTTTTGCAAACAATTTCTTCTACGTATTATTTGCCTGCTTTTGTTAGTATTTYTCATGAAATTCTCATCTTCATTTTCCAACATTTCGTCAGCAATTATACTATATATGTATGTATGTGTTAACGCTATTTAACAGCTTATTTCCTGGCGAATGTCTCAAGTAATCAAAAGCTAATACCGGATTTCTGTACTGTGATACAGTCACAAATCTTTAAAATTGAGACTTTAAAGTAGAGATTTTAGTTTAATTAATTTTAATTTTTGTTATTTTGCAATTCAGTACGTGGCAGTCACAATTGCAAATGAACAGGTCTAGTCAACTCTTCTTCTTCTTCTTAATTGGCGTAGACACCGCTTACGCGATTATAGCCGAGTTAACAACAGCGCGCCAGTCGTTTCATCTTTTCACTATATGGCGCCAATTGGATATTGCAAGCGTAGCCAGGTCCTTCTCCACCTGGTCCTTCCAACGGAGTGGAGGTCTTCCTCTTCCTCTGCTGGAGTGTTTTCGTTCATTCGGACAACATGACCTAGCCAGCGTAGCCTCTGTCTTTTGATTCGCTACTATGTCAATGTCGTCATATATCTCGTACAACTCATCGTTCCATCGAATGCGATATTCAAAGTGGCCAACACGCAAAGGACCATAAACCTTTCGCAGAACTTTTCTCTCGAAAACTCGCAACATCGACTCCTCAGTTGTTGTCATCGTCCAAGCCTCTGCACCATATAGCAGGACGGGAATTATGAGTAACTTATAGAGTTTGGTTTTTGTCCGTCGAGAGAGGACTTTGCTTCTCAATTGCCTACTCAGTCCGAAGTAGCACCTGTTGGCAAGAGTTATCCTGCGTTGGGTTTCCAGGCTGACATTGTTGGTGGTGTTTACGCTGGTTCCAAGATAGACGAAATTATCTACGACTTCAAAGTCATGACTGTCAACAGTGACTCCCCCTGCGGATAGGGGCCCGTGGTAAGGCATGCCTGTCGTAGGAGGCGACTAAAAACCCGCATACACTTGTGTCTGTCATTCTGGGCTTGCCTTGACTTTTAGCATAGTCCATGTCAGATATAGTGCTATCGTATTCATCGTAAAAACATGGTTACTGTACACTGTATTTTATTCCTGGTATTCGACCGTGTTTTCGTTTACGATTTCGTTTACGAATGGATTTACGAGACACATGTCATTATACAGTTGAGGGGGATCAACTGGCAGTAGCGCAAGCTACAGGCCACACCAAAGACTAAAACATGGTACCACGGGGAGCAGTCAGCCCTTGGAGGTAACTCCAATCTGCTCATTGGGTTTTTGGCCCTTTGTGGAGATTCGTGGTGGCTGTGGTTTAAACCTACCTAAATGCAGGAAGGGCATTAGTCCGGTGTGGAGTCGCACTGCGGCCGGGTGCCGGACCCAGAGTACGGCAGAGGTTTTAGATGGGCCTCGTACCCAACCAAGGTGGCTAGGGTGTTTTACGTCCACCCAAACCAATTGGAACCAAAGTATAAGTGTATGTGGCGGCACTTATGCTTTGGTTCTCCAGAGCATGGTGCAGGTGCAAGCACTCGTGCTTTGGGGCGCTGATCGACGCATTGTTTTGATCTATGTGCTTCTAGCCATAGAAAGCACCGTGGGGTTAGGCCTTCGCAGGCAGGAACTCACGTTAAACTAAAACGGACTCTGCCAACAGTGACGTGAGAGCCTAGTCGCGAGTACGACGACTGTTTGTTTGATGACAGGCGATATTTCGTCATGCCATCGTTCACTGCCAGACCCATTTGTTTTGCTTCCTTATCCAGTCTGGAGAAAGCAGAATTAACGGCGCGGGTGATGATATTAATATCATCGGCATACGCCAGCCGCTGTACACTCTTATCTCTTACATTTTATTATTTAGAGATGTATTTACATTTGAATGAAAATAAACATGTCGATAACAAATAATAAATTTTCAATAAAATAGTCAAAAGGCATATTTACAAATAAAAATAAATGTTGACAATCGATTAATATGACGATCTTTATAAATGCCTTGGTAGTATATTCCAAATGGCAAACAAAAGCTTTTTTTTAGTTTTGTGACCTGCTAACTATCGGTGTCAAATTTGATACAATATTTTGTGACTAAAGTGTTGTAAATAGTAACTTGTCACAAATTAAGACTTTACTCAAAAATACCTCAAATAGTGACTAGAGACTGCTGACTGAATTGCGCTGAAAGTATCATTGATTTACCAAAGGGATTTCTCCACTACTCATTGAGGTGTAAATAATAATACAATCCAACTATTTTGAACACAATGATATATGGTTCATTTCGATCATTGGTGTGTATTCAGGTGGCGGTGGTCAAAATGTATGGTGAAAAACGAGAATATAAATTCCTGAATCGCAAATGCTCCATTAGCACGGTCCGTCACATATCTTTTCACACACATACATATGTGTGTTATCCACTCGTTCCCACACAGCCCATTCACACTTAATTGCTTAACTCTAACCACGAAAAGCAAAACAATAAAGGGGTAAAGAAAGTATATGCGTGACGAGCCTTGATGTGCTGAACACAATAAACGCGACAGACTGCAGCAGCACGACAGTGAATTGAAAGTGGCATTGTGAATCCTACCACATGAACATTTGTAAGAAGGCAGCGACATAACAATGGCCGGCATGTATACAAAAGAACGCAGTAGTCCATTTGGTATGTACACAATTTCGTTGTGGCCATACTAATATAATTCCTTGCACTTCAATGAAAATTTAATATTTTGTTCAAAGTGAAATTAAGTAAATAGGTAAATTTATTTGTTTTAAATTATCAATTGTTATTACAAATGATTTAACAGAGCTATTTTATGCTTTTATTTGTAAAATAACGTCTGGTTAGTTAGAGCTTTGAATAATTTTACAGTTTACATATTAGTGCCATCACCACTCTACCTCATCTCTCTACTGTCAACTCTACTGTCGTCCTCAGAGATAATGAGATGTTTCACTCCTCTCTCACTGGAAGTGAGAGAACAATTGCTAAACGTCAAAACCACCTAAACTTTGACAGTTGATCGAGTTCAGGAGGTTTTGACGTTTAACAATTGGAAACGAGGGATGGCCAGATTGAAATCTTAGCGAAAAAATACGTAAGCGGAGGGATTTGTTGCATCSTTCAATACCACTTGTAAAAAATGTAAAACAATGAAAATTAAATAAATTTGTGAAATTTAAAGGTATCTGATGAAAGGTTTTGTAATTTGAAGCATCATAGTATTA